AAAGCCATGCACACGCACCCCCGTACTGCTCAGTTAGGTGAGAAACGCCTCAAATCCAAAAGTCATAACCCACGTGGTGGCGACGCCAGTAGATGGCGGCGATAGCATTGAGGTCCACTATGAGCCACGCCATTCCCCCGTTATTCGAGTAGCATTTAATTTTACTGAAAATGCCAGATTTATTGTGAATTTTATTAATGAATAATGCTATAAAATTCGAATACAATTTAAATACGTATCATTCCTTAAATGGGTGAGTCTCATTAATTTTTTTAGNAGCATTGAGGTCCACTATGAGCCACGCCATTCCCCCGTTATTCGAGTAGCATTTAATTTTACTGAAAATGCCAGATTTATTGTGAATTTTATTAATGAATAATGCTATAAAATTCAAATACAATTTAAATACGTATCATTCCTTAAATGGGTGAGTCTCATTAATTTTTTTAGCAGAACTCATTCATCTCACATTCATATAAGGGATGATATATATTTTAAATTTTTAACTTTTAAATTTTATTTGAATTATGTAGAATTTTGACGAGTTTAACCCAATGACCCAACTCACGTTACAAGTCTGAGGGCCCAACTCCACAAGGTTCAATTAGCCAAGCCCAAAGGAGTCTGCACTCGATCAAGCTGANTAAATTTTATTTGAATTATGTAGAATTTTGACGAGTTTAACCCAATGACCCAACTCATGTTACAAGTCTGAGGGCCCAACTCCACAAGGTTCAATTAGTCAAGCCCAAAGGAGTCTGCACTCGATCAAGTTAGNCGAGTTTAACCCAATGACCCAACTCACGTTACAAGTCTGAGGGCCCAACTCCACAAGGTTCAATTAGCCAAGCCCAAAGGAGTCTGCACTCGATCAAGCTGATTAGGTTCCAGAAATTACATCAGTAGAGGAGCACGCAGGGTCATCTAAGAGCTCATTCATGCCACCTTGAAAATAGTCAATACCCCAGTCATTTTTTGACCGAGTGTCATGGAGAGTACCTCAACCACCTCACCCGTTGAGAAGAAGTCGCCAATTTCACCAAAATCATTATTTAGCTGTAATTAAGTCACCCCCAATCTGTTAGGGGCGACTATAAATTATAAGTTCCGCCAACACTTAAGGGGCATTATCACCCAATTGAGCACATATCTCCTCTCCCTTTCTAGACTTGTAACTCTCTACACTTCTTACACTTGAGTTAATAAAATACTTGACGATTNCAAAATCATTATTTAGCTGTAATTAAGTCACCCCCAATCTGTTAGGGGCGACTATAAATTATAAGTTCCGCCAACACTTAAGGGGTATTATCACCCAATTGAGCACATATCTCCTCTCCCTTTCTAGACTTGTAACTCTCTGCACTTCCTACACTTGAGTTAATAAAATACTTGACGATCCAAGCTATTTAAAAGTGGATGTAGTTCATGTTGACCAAACCACTATAATTCTTGACTTCTCACTTTACTGATAAATTACTACATTTATTATTGATACTTGACAAATAGTGTACAAAATCAATTTGTGCATCATCGCAACTTATTAAAAAAATATCTATTTACTTCCCGAGAAAGGTGAGGTACCATTTCGAAATTGATTTGTAATCTTTAACTTTTATTTAGATGATTTGTACTCTTAGATTAAAAAAATGATGAAACAATGAAAAATAATGAAATTAAATTCTTTTACTCATGTCATACTTTTATTGAATAAAAAATAGATGGTACTGAAAATTTTTTTTCGATATTACACTATATTTGGACCCANGAGGTACCATTTCGAAATTGATTTGTAATCTTTAACTTTTATTTAGATGATTTGTACACTTAGATTAAAAAAATGATGAAACAATGAAAAATAATGAAATTAAATTCTTTTACTCATGTCATACTTTTATCGAATAAAAAATAGAATATGATACTGAAAAATTATTTTTCGATATTACACTATATTTGGACCCAAAAAAAAAAAATTGTTTCATACACATAGACATGTTACATGCATTCAATTTGCAGTTTATTATATTTATATTAGGGGTAACTCGTAACTGAAAGCACAGTACCATGTAAATATTTTTTAGAGGGATTATTGTTGGTCATTTGATGAATTTATTTAAGACCATCAAATAAGTTTATTGAAATTTATTCTGTTTTATATTATAAATTATATATATAGATGCATGAACTAAGTGGGACATTTTAAAAAAGGACGGCTCAAGGTAATTTTAGACTTACACCAGTAATATTAAATGAGGTTTTTTTTTATTTTTAATATTATTTTAATAAAAAATATTTTTAAATTTTTTTAACTGAGAGAGGAGGATGTGATACTTTATTTTTGTTTTTTTAAGAGAGAGAGAGAGAGAGAAAGAAAGAAAAGAGAGATAGAACGAATGTGAGTAAATATGAGTTAACTTTTAAATATTTTTTATTTATTTTTAAAATTTTTGATTTTTGAGTTACTAATATTATGGATTGAATTGTATGGTCAAATTATTAAAATTATAATTTTTTTATTGGGCTTAAATTTTTTGGTTCATGGATTTAAATTTTTTATATGGATTAGTTATGTAGTTAAAATTATGGGGTCTTTTAAAAATTTGGGACCTAAAGCTCACGCCATTTTTTAGGAAAAATTGGAAAGAGGGTACACCAAATTGGAATTAATTGTAAAAAAATACACAGAATAAAATGTAGGGCAAAAAAGTCTTTAATTTTGATACTTATTTTTTTCAAAATACATTATTTGAAATTTTCATATTTTCTTTTGACTTTTATATCATCCCTTGATCCATGCATATTTTTTTTAAGAAAATGGTGCATTAAACATCTCCTAGTTTTATAGGAGACCTTTCATATTTCGTATTTTTATGTCCTCCTTTGATTCATGTATATTTTTTTTTTGGAAAGTGATTTTGTTTTCAATTTATATTTAATGCACTTTAATTCATGTATATTTTTTTTGGAAAGTAGTTTTGTTTTCAAATTATATTAATATCTGAACTTCATAACAATATAATAATAATAGTGTAACAATAACTGTGTAACATTACATTTAGTCAAACATATATTTTTATATAATTTCATTCAAAACAGTCCATTTTTATTTTAAATTTGTTACAATATGTGCAAAATCACTGAACATTGTTTCTATTACAATGTATTGTTACACTGTTTTTGTTATACTATTGCTTAATGAATTTGTTACGTTTTTGTTACAATGTAAATAATTTTATATTTCAAATTATATAAAAAAATAATTAATAAATTTTGAAATTCAAATAAAGTGGTATATTCTATAATAAACAAAATATTAAAGTTCTATCATAAAATTATGAGATATTTAATGCATAAATATAATTTGAAAACAAACCTCTTTTCAAAAACAAATACGCATGAATTAAGGTGCATTAGAAATTTCGAATTAAATGACCATAAATTTTAGCGTTTAAAATAAATGTCTTGTTACAGTTTTTAGTAAAGAAAATTTTATTAAAATGGGTATTTAGGTCTTTGTATCTCAGCAGTGTACTTTTTTTTCAAAATATTTTGTTTTATGTATTTTTTTACAATTATATCTNGAGGATATGTTACTTCAAAGGGGGGGAGGGGAGGGGATATTGATGACGGAGAAAATATTTCATGCAATGCTGAGACTACGTCAATATTATCACGTAATATCACCATCTACCCTCTATGTAATACAATAACTACTAACTCATTAGGCAATAACTACTCACATGCAAGAAAGCCGGGCAAACCTTACCCACTTGGTATGTTATTTTTGGATGCTGATACCATACATGAATGTATTAGCGTGATGTCACATTTACACTAAATATTTACTTGTATGGACGATGTGATCATACTAAATAAAATGTGACGGCAGGTACTTGGTCTTGGGTGGCATGCTAAGTTGCTATGAAAAAGCCCTTGCATTTACATGAGAACTGTTCCATTACCATGTGGATGAAGCTCCCTTCTCCAACTGAGTGGCTGACATTTTTGCACTAAAGGTTACGCACATTTTTTCTACCCTCTTCAAAAATTAAACAAAAAAGTATCATGTAAGGTAAGACTCCATTATTAGAACAATGTGTTGAGCTTTCAACTGATTCAAGCGGGATACTGGAAAATATTACAGCGAAAATTCCCATATACGTACTTACATGCATACATATTCATGAAGAAATATATCTTCCCAACATTCTCACAGATGTTCCTATTAACACACACAAGATGGCACACACAACTCCAAGAACCGAAAAATAGAAAAAACCACCATTAGATCTGCGAGGCCTAATCGCAGTTGAAGTGGAGTTGCCGGCATCTGTGTTTATGTTTCTGACACGTAATCTTACCCTACCAAAGCTAGACATTCACTCAAAGGCCCTATTAGTAATTGAGATTCTTTCTTTTACTGTTTCACGTAATGGTAGATCACATATCATAGATTCAAGTAGGATCTACTATTTATAAATAAGTCTTTCATTCGTATTGGGTGAGAATTGAAGAAAAATGTAATAGAGAGGATTTAAATACGCCTATTAGCGATGGTGAGTGCATCTCTATGTTCCATTGGAGTGAATCAATTTGTGTGTCCAAATATGATTTGTTAGTAGGATTGGAATTAGGTTTGCTGAAAATGAGTTTAATTTCGAAAGGTTCAACTCTTCAAACTAAAGCTTATCATCAATCAGGTTCAAATGCTCATGCTCAAACTCAACTTACTACATTATAGATTACTAGTGAGAAGTCATCCATGATCCATATAAGGATAGAAGGTTATGTATACATACAAACATGTGTGTGTGTGTGTATATCAGTTCCCATTTAGGTGTTACAAATCACAATTTTTTCTGGGTAACTTAACTGTCCCAGTAAATCACAATAGCTACGTGCAGATTGCAGAACCTTATCACAATTCTAATGAAAGAACATTCATATTTGGTGAAGGAAACCAACTTAATGGATTAAGGGTCCAACTATGCTACCGAAAATTACTTTTCGGTCCTAGTAATAGCCACGGCCACAAGAGGACTCTTCATCTCACAAGAAAGCTTAAGCAACTCAGTCAGATCAACAGGATGAGCCACCTCCTGAACCCACTCGAACTGGTGCACCAACTTAGCCACCCAAAGGCTCACTGACGCGAGCCCTAGGTTCCTCCCAGGACACACTCTTCGGCCAGCCCCCGAACGGCGCGAGCCGGAGGTCATTGCCCTTCACATCCACATTAACACCACCATCTAAAAACCTCTCAGGCTTAAACACCAATGGGTCCTCCCATATAGTGGGGTCGTGGGTGATTGACCACATGTTCACCATGGCAGTTGTGTTGGCGGGAATTGCCATGCCGTTGCTGAGCTGGACGCCTGATGTGGACAGACGGGCCCAGGTGGGTGGAGACGTAGGGTATCTTTCACCATTGCTTGAAGGTAGGGCAATTTAGTAATATTAGCGTCTTCAGAACGAGTTCTGCCATGGCCCATTCTGTTAGAAGAGTTGTGTGTCGGTACCACGGAAGATCATTTCCTGCAAACATACATAAGAAAATACGCTAAGGGTAATATCCGAGAAATTAATTTAATACATTGTCATCATTAATAAGGAATAGATACTAATAGTATTCGTATCGGGTTCATTGTTAATCCTAAATGATGGTAGTGCATGATGCCTCTAGATTAAATATGATTAGGTATTATTGGATTATTAATATTTTTCAATTATTATTTTTTTGAATAAATTTAGAAGTACAAAATGTTGGGTTCCCCAATCCTCGCCTCTGCTTGCTCTTAATTTCCTTCAATTGTATATTGAACTTGTTTGAAACTCACTTTTTTGGGTGTGAAATAGTTGATTGAAAATTGAAATGAAAAAATTAGAGTAGAAAAAAGTTTTTGAAATCGTTTGAAATATTTATGAAAAAGTTGATTTTTCCTTAGAAAATTTTGGATAAATCCAATTTTTTAGGTTTTTCTTGTGTTGAAAAAACTGTTTTTGTCCAAAAAAATTGATGAAAATCCGTCCAGTAGGCCCGAATCTGAATAGATCAATATTCTTTTTCTCCAAAACTAACAAAACTTGAGGTTTTTAGTTAGCTCCAAATAAGCCCATTGTAATTATATTGGTGAAGACTAAAATATACGATTGGACGAATGTCACAATCCTTAATGGTTCTTGCCCAAAAAACATTTGCCAATTAAACAGTTGGCATATGGGTTTTTGCATAGAACTGTTCACATTTTCTTAGCGAAAACCAGCATTAATTAACTTAAAACAAAAATACATACTTACCCATAAAAAATCCACCATATCATCCTCTTGGAACTTCTCTTCACCCTCCAAACACAGCAAAATGTCGACAAAATTAGAGTCATCCGATATCTTGGAGGGTTTGCCAGATTGGTGTTCTTCAATAATCTGTTTAACTAGGGTTTTCACTTGAGGAACAAGAACTGAACAACGTTCATGAATACTGAAGGAGTTGGCTCTCATTATTACACGTGTTGTGAGGTGGACAAAACAAGGCACGTGATGAGGATATCAGCTACTCAGTCAAATAGGCCTAGCCGAACTAATCAATATGATTCAGCAAAGCAACCAAAGAGCTCGGCTTTTACCAAACTGAGTTGATCAATGTGTTCGGCAAATATCAAAAGTACTCGGCTCTCATTGTGACTGAACTGTTCGAGACAGTAGATAGAAAGATAAAGATAAACCTTTAACTTAGATATTTTGAATAAACGAATCAACAAAATTGCAGATGTCAAGAGGAATTATTGGAGAAATATCAGCAACTTCCCAAACTGAATCATAGAATTGAAGGAAGGTGTGCTACCTTGAACCAAAAATCACGGAAACCCTAATAGGATAATCATCTATAAAAAGTAGAAGAAACCAAAGTGAAAGATACACTGAACTTTCCTTGTCTTCCAGCAATTATTTTTGTTTCATTGCTGACTTAAATATCGGAGTGCCTTCCACTTCGTTCTTGGACAGTTTATTCGTTTTGCAGAACAAGAAGATTGAAAGATCAAATTCAAAAATATCTTTTACCAGAAATATCAAATTCCATCTTTCATGTGAGGTATATCAATTTTTATCTCTTACAAATACGATAAGAATCATTAAAGTACTTCAACCATGGAAGATGATTCGACCAATTGAAAGCTCCCAAGAGCTCAAACCCTNAATTGTATATTGAACTTGTTTGAAACTCACTTTTTTGGGTGTGAAATAGTTGATTGAAAATTGAAATGAAAAAATTAGAGTAGAAAAAAGTTTTTGAAATCGTTTGAAATATTTATGAAAAAGTTGATTTTTCCTCAGAAAATTTTGGATAAATCCAATTTTTTAGGTTTTTCTTGTGTTGAAAAAACTGTTTTTGTCCAAAAAAATTGATGAAAATCCGTCCAGTAGGCCCGAATCTGAATAGATCAATATTCTTTTTCTCCAAAACTAACAAAACTTGAGGTTTTTAGTTAGCTCCAAATAAGCCCATTGTAATTATATTGGTGAAGACTAAAATATACGATTGGACGAATGTCACAATCCTTAAGATTTGTGTGGGTATTTTAAAATTGTCAATTAATGTTGGTTCTTGCCCAAAAAACATTTGCCAATTAAACAGTTGGCATATGGGTTTTTGCATAGAACTGTTCACATTTTCTTAGCGAAAACCAGCATTAATTAACTTAAAACAAAAATACATACTTACCCATAAAAAATCCACCATATCATCCTCTTGGAACTTCTCTTCACCCTCCAAACACAGCAAAATGTCGACAAAATTAGAGTCATCCGATATCTTAGAGGGTTTGCCAGATTGGTGTTCTTCAATAATCTGTTTAACTAGGGTTTTCACTTGAGGAACAAGAACTGAACAACGTTCATGAATACTGAAGGAGTTGGCTCCCATTATTACACGTGTTGTGAGGTGGACAAAACAAGGCACGTGATGAGGATATCAGCTACTCAGTCAAATAGGCCTAGCCGAACTAATCAATATGATTCAGCAAAGCAACCAAAGAGCTCGGCTTTTACCAAACTGAGTTGATCAATGTGTTCGGCAAATATCAAAAGTACTCGGCTCTCATTGTGACTGAACTGTTCGAGACAGTAGATAGAAAGATAAAGATAAACCTTTAACTTAGATATTTTGAATAAACGAATCAACAAAATTGCAGATGTCAAGAGGAATTATTGGAGAAATATCAGCAACTTCCCAAACTGAATCATAGAATTGAAGGAAGGTGTGCTACCTTGAACCAAAAATCACGGAAACCCTAATAGGATAATCATCTATAAAAAGTAGAAGAAACCAAAGTGAAAGATACACTGAACTTTCCTTGTCTTCCAGCAATTATTTTTGTTTCATTGCTGACTTAAATATCGGAGTGCCTTCCACTTCGTTCTTGGACAGTTTATTCGTTTTGCAGAACAAGAAGATTGAAAGATCAAATTCAAAAATATCTTTTACCAGAAATATCAAATTCCATCTTTCATGTGAGGTATATCAATTTTTATCTCTTACAAATACGATAAGAATCACTAAAGTACTTCAACCATGGAAGATGATTCGACCAATTGAAAGCTCCCAAGAGCTCAAACCCTTCTTTCACAATCTCCTGCAGTTCTCTGGCGTCTGACTCGTGCATTGGATCGTAATTTTTTCCGAACACGATTCCCATTATGCTGTTCAGAGAAGCAAGTTGAAGGTGCTTTCTTAGAACTACAGCGCCATGGGGACATTGTTCTTGGGATATGGCAATCAACATGGCAGCGCAATCTAGCTGGCGTCCAGGCTCATGGGCTATTATGCGGTTTGGTGCAAACAGGTGTGATGAGGCAATCTTTCTTAAGAGCCGCCAGTATGACCCATTGGGCGGCGCGAACCCAATGGCTCTACTGAACATGAGCTGCTTAGCCGACTGTTTGATGGGACGGTCGGAAAGTGAGGAGAGGTTAGGATCTCTAGGGGCGTGTGTGGGTCCGAGGCCATGACAGCTGGGGTCGAGTCCAAGCTGAAAGCCATGAGCAGGGTTGAGGCGGCTTGGCTCAAAGCCATGGATGCGAGAGTGCGATGAGCCAAGCCTTGGCTTAGGCTGAGTATGCTGCCAAAGATGGGAAGGCCACGAGGGCCGTGGATTGGGGCCCGGCCCATATGGTTCTTTCCATTTTTCCATGCTGGTCCACCAGTGGAGAAAGCCCAGTTGATGAGAATAACAGTTATAATTGCCATGCAAATGGAGAAAAATAGAAACCCGTTGCATAAGTTTTGGGTTTCAAGAATGGCTGGAAGAGTCAAGACCCACCATTCTGTGTCCTCAGAAATCAAGGAGAACTCAGTCCCTCTCCTTGTGTGTGTGTGTGTGTGTGTGAGAGAGAGAGAGAGAGAGAGAGAGAGAGAGAGTTATTGGGTGGTGGAGAAAGGGTTTTTAAGAAGGCTGTTTGAATAGGCAGCATTGTCTAATGAGGGTACCAAAAATTATTTTGTTGATATCATACTTTGACTCTATTTTCATCCAATAAAAACGTGTAAAAATTTATTGTTTAATCAATAATTACAATCCAACTAAACTAAAAATCACCTGTTGCATATCAAATAGGACACCTTAATACTTTCAGCATCATCGCATACTTATCCATTATTTAAGAACATTTTACTGGTTTACAAAACCTAGGGATTGCAGCTAGCTGTTTACGTAGAGAAGGAGTTACCTTATCTTATATGAGTAATGTTATTTAGACCTAAAAATTTAATATAATTTGTTGACCTAATTTACTGTAACCTTTGAATTGATTATAAATTTTATCAAACATTAAAATTTAGTATTAATTCAATAATTCCTATAAAGCCACATTATTAGAGAGAGAGAGAGAGAGAGAGAGAGAGAGAGAGATNCATCATCGCATACTTATCCATTATTTAAGAACATTTTACTGGTTTACAAAACCTAGGAATTGCAGCTAGCTGTTTACGTAGAGAAGGAGTTACCTTATCTTATATGAATAATGTTATTTAGACCTAAAAATCTAACATAATTTGTTGACCTAATTTACTGTAACCTTTGGATTGATTGTAAACTTTATCAAACATTAAAATTTAGTATTGATTCAATAATTCCTATAAAGCCACATTATTAGAGAGAGAGAGAGAGAGTTGGAGTTTTATTTTGTTTTAATCTTGAAAGGCAGTCCAGGAATATTGGTGCCCGAATCCTTTTCCTCGGTTTAATCGACTTTAAACAGGACAAATCTTTTAATATAGTATGTAATTGGATTTATAGTTTTTTTAGGCAGTACCATGCAATTCATAGCAACTTTTACACCTAGATTACATCGGTACGATATTACATTTGATCTTATATTAATGGATTAACTACAGTAATGGTCCCTTTACCCTCAACATTACTGTAACCAAAGTACCCATCTTCCGGTGATTATGTGAGACCTATGTGATCATTTCCTTTGTCATTTTAAAAAACGTCAAAGTAAAATAATGAAAATGACACGCAATGCCATATTCTATATTTGTCAAACCACCCACGNTCCGGTGATTATGTGAGACCTATGTGATCATTTCCTTTGTCATTTTAAAAAACGTCATTAAAAAAATGGAAAGTAAAATAATGAAAATGACACACAATGCCTTCGATATTTGTCAAACCACCCACATAGTAGCAGAGTAAATATTGAGTATAATAATTACATCATATTAACATTATCGTATAATATAATCATTAAATTATAAAAAATAACTATTATGCAAGTAAACCATTTTTTTAATATAAAATAATTATTATCTTATATGAAGAAATTATTATTCAAAGGAGTGAGGTTTATTTTACTTGATTATTAAGTTATTATTAAATAATTTATATAATAAAGTACAATACAATTCAAATCTCAAAAGATAAACAAAATAATTTTTACTTTTTACGATTGAGATCTTTTTAAATTTTAATTTAAAATTAATTTGATAGCTAATATTAACACATCAAATTCAATAGGAGAAATAGGTCCCTTGCAGTGTGTTTGAAGTGTCTTTTTAAAAGTATTTCTAGAATTTATAACTTTCCATAAGTACTTAAAAAAAAAATTATATTTAGAACCGCCCTACCACCACCACCACCACTCTTATCGCCCCATCACTACCACCACCGCCACCATAACTACCCCCACCACCACCCCCTCCACTGCCCCACCACCATCACCACCACGACCACAACCGCCATCTTTGCCACAACCACCATTACCACACCGACCGCCCCTTCACCCCCACCACTGTTACTGACACCCTACCACAATTACTACCATCTTTGTCACCCCATCACCACCACAATTGCGCCCCCAACACCACCGCCACTACCACTGTTGCCACCCCACCAACAACACCACCCCCATCGCCCCACCACTATCACCACCGCAACAACCATCACCACTGTCACCCCACCACCACCATTGTCACCCCCACTACCATTGTCACCACCCACCAACAACACCACCCCCACCACCACCATCACTGTTCCATCACTACTACCACCACCACCACCACCACTAATGCCCCATCAGCACTAACACCACCTCTACCACCCCATCACCACCACCACCGTCGCCACCGTCATCACCCCCATTGTCACCACCACCACCACCAACATCGCCACTTACCACCGATTATTACCACCATCATCCACTGTCACCACTTACCACAATCGTCATCTCATTTTTATATTTATTGCAACTACCATCATCATCCCACTACCACTGTTAGCACAATCAACATTAATCGTCATCCAGTTTGAAACGAACTGTGAACTCCGATGTCCTCAGTTTGAAACTTGACAATTTTTTAGGGTCAATTCATGAAAGATTTATCTTTCATAAATATCCTAATCCCGATATATATAACTTGTCTTTGACTAAGCAAGGGAAAAAATTAGTCGAAATATACGTAAATTGCCCTAAATACATTTGACCGTTGAACCAAAATTATGGGAACAACATGAAGTTAGTATAAGTAGGTCCCATAATTTTAGACCTAATCTGACATTCAATTGATACAAAATTAATAGATCTCGTCTTAATCATCTCAAATATTGGTGATCAATGGGAATGAGGTTTGTTAGACAATCAAAGAAATGAGCAACAGAAACTGATAACATACTGATCATACATGATACGATTCCCTTCTACAAACAATAATAATGGATTAGTTGTGAGTTCCAATGTTAGATGGAACATACAACCAATTAAATAGTTGTACATCATTAGATTCCCAAATTAAGTCTAAATAGCATTCTCCTTATAAATTATAGATATAGATACATGAACTAAGCAAGATATTTTAAATAATAATCAGGTGCATGAAGACATTCTATGATACCAAAATTGAACATTGATCATACAATATTTATATTTTAAATATAAATTTATTTATTTTATTTAACTACACAATTTAAAAATACAAGTGAACAGAGAGAAAACAAAAGAGGTCGATGTAAATTAATAGAGTTGTTTGACACTGCAAAATGTGCTAATTGAATTGTCTTAAGTTGGAGGTTGTGTAAAGAAGAAAATATTTTTGAGCAAATTTCTTTTTTAGAATGAATTTTGTATAATTATATCAAAGTATGAAAATTATATTAATTTTGATAGTTATTATAGGTTGCAAATTCAATTTTCTAGCTATGATATTAAATAAATCAAGACTACTTTAGGTGTCTAGGTCTCTTAATGTAGTTTTCTTTTTCTTTTTTTAATTTCATTTGATGATAAGCAGTGAGAGGAGTACATTGTTAGGGCGACTCTTCAAATTAGGAGGTCATGTCAAGAGGCGAGTATCTGCCAAAAAAAAAATAAATAATAAAATTATAAATAAGTGAGGTGAACCTGCCGTTTTCATGTAACTCATATGTCTGTGTTATGTGTTATTCGTATTGTGTTATTATTTTTCATGTTAATACCCACAAAAAAAAAATTTATTTAATATATTCTAAATATTAAAATTAGTCTAAACTATTTATTATGCGTATTTATTAATCGTATCAATTTTATAATTTTTTATACTGAGTTAGAAATCAGAGTTGACACCCCCAGGTGAATCTTAGTTGCACTTATATGATAGAAGAGTAATAAATTATTTACTTACATGATAAATAAATAATAATTTTTATAAGATCCATTTGTTAATTTATTTTAATATTATTAATTAATAATATCACATCACCTTACCATATGTTATCACCGTTGTAAAGAATATTTCTCCCCTTACTGGGGCTTACTTTCATATCCTTTCAAGTTTAGAGTTTAGGTATGGTTAGGGTTTATAACCAAGTGAAGTTATTTGAGTTCAGATCAACTCATTATTGACTCGAGCTTAAATAATTTTTTTAAGTTTGTTTCTTTAAAAAATACAATAATTTTTTTTATAAAATAATCGATCTACTCAGACTTAATTTCTACATAATTTGGGCTTACCGAACCAACTATAAAACAATTTTTCAGACTAGTTTAAAAAAATAAACTCAACTAAAACTTACAATACTCAACTTGGTTATCAACCCTAACTATAGAACCCCGGTATTATACCAAAACTTTTTCTCAACCATTAATTTTATTTTGATCTATTTTTAACATTGAATGTAAAAATAAAATAAAATAATAATTTAAGAAAACTTTACATAAACGAGGCCACAAATAATTAACAGAACAAATTAAAAAATAAATAACATAGAAGAATTTATGTGGGTTGGCTAGCAATTTTCGCTTACAGGCGACAGACGAAGGACAATAATAAAGTTTCACTATCAAAGAAAGATTATAAAATAAATCTCTAAAACTAAAGCAACAAAAACAAGTAACCAAAAGCTGTTTCAAATTTATGTACAAATAATAAAAAGAAATACATAAGAAATTCTTTTACTAAGATTCTAGTTTACCTTTTTTTTTAATGGAATTAGGTGTCTGAATTTTGTTGAACTACACTATGGGGTGTAACCTTATTTGTACTGAAGTAAGTGCATCCTTATTANCATTCTATGATACCAAAATTGAACATTGATCATACAATATTTATATTTTAAATATAAATTTATTTATTTTATTTAACTACACAATTTAAAAATACAAGTGAACAGAGAAAAAACAAAAGAGGTCGATGTAAATTAATAGAGTTGTTTGACACTGCAAAATGTGCTAATTGAATTGTCTTAAGTTGGAGGTTGTGTAAAGAAGAAAATATTTTTGAGCAAATTTCTTTTTTAGAATGAATTTTGTATAATTATATCAAAGTATGAAAATTATATTAATTTTGATAGTTATTATAGGTTGCAAATTCAATTTTCTAGCTATGATATTAAATAAATCAAGACTACTTTAGGTGTCTAGGTCTCTTAATGTAGTTTTCTTTTTCTTTTTTTAATTTCATTTGATGATAAGCAGTGAGAGGAGTACATTGTTAGGGCGACTCTTCAAATTAGGAGGTCATGTCAAGAGGCGAGTATCTGCCAAAAAAAAATAAATAATAAAATTATAAATAAGTGAGGTGAACCTGCCGTTTTCATGTAACTCATATGTCTGTGTTATGTGTTATTCGTATTGTGTTATTATTTTTCATGTTAATACCCACAAAAAAAAAATTTATTTAATATATTCTAAATATTAAAATTAGTCTAAACTATTTATTATGCGTATTTATTAATCGTATCAATTTTATAATTTTTTATACTGAGTTAGAAATCAGAGTTGACACCCCCAGGTGAATCTTAGTTGCACTTATATGACAGAAGAGTAATAAATTATTTACTTACATGATAAATAAATAATAATTTTTATAAGATCCATTTGTTNCAAAAAAAAAATTATTTAATATATTCTAAATATTAAAATTAGTCTAAACTATTTATTATGCGTATTTATTAATCGTATCAATTTTATAATTTTTTATACTAAGTTAGAAATCAGAGTTGACACCCCTAGGTGAATCTTAGTTGCACTTATATGATAGAAGAGTAATAAATTATTTACTTACATGATAAATAAATAATAATTTTTATAAGATCCATTTGTTAATTTATTTTAATATTATTAATTAATAATATCACATCACCTTACCATATGTTATCACCGTTGTAAAGAATATTTCTCCCCTTACTGGGGCTTACTTTCATATCCTTTCAAGTTTAGAGTTTAGGTATGGTTAGGGTTTATAACCAAGTGAAGTTATTTGAGTTCAGATCAACTCATTATTGACTCGAGCTTAAATAATTTTTTTAAGTTTGTTTCTTTAAAAAATACAATAATTTTTTTTATAAAATAATCGATCTACTCAGACTTAATTTCTACATAATTTGGGCTTACCGAACCAACTATAAAACAATTTTTCAGACTAGTTTAAAAAAATAAACTCAACTAAAACTTACAATACTCAACTTGGTTATCAACCCTAACTATAGAACCCCGGTATTATACCAAAACTTTTTCTCAACCATTAATTTTATTTTGATCTATTTTTAACATTGAATGTAAAAATAAAATAAAATAATAATTTAAGAAAACTTTACATAAACGAGGCCACAAATAATTAACAGAACAAATTAAAAAATAAATAACATAGAAGAATTTATGTGGGTTGGCTAGCAATTTTCGCTTACAGGCGACAGACGAAGGACAATAATAAAGTTTCACTATCAAAGAAAGATTATAAAATAAATCTCTAAAACTAAAGCAACAAAAACAAGTAACCAAAAGCTGTTTCAAATTTATGTACAAATAATAAAAAGAAATACATAAGAAATTCTTTTACTAAGATTCTAGTTTACCTTTTTTTTTAATGGAATTAGGTGTCTGAATTTTGTTGAACTACACTATGGGGTGTAACCTTATTTGTACTGAAGTAAGTGCATCCTTATTACTGCTCAGTTATTAGTGTTCATAAAAGGGGGCACCAATGCATCAGGCTCCCACTATTACAAGGCCTAGGGAGGGTCAAATGTCCGTAATGCATCATTTGCTTTCAATCTTGTTCTGTTTGTGAATTACTTTCAGTCTTCTTCAGCCTTCATTCATGAAAATATCTTCTGTAGTAGTCTGGAGGATATGTTACTTCAAAGGGGGGAGGGGAGGGGATATTGATGACGGAGAAAATATTTCATGCAATGGTGAGACTACGTTAATATTATCACGTGATATCACCATTTAATAATATGCTAGGTAAGTAAATTCCACATAAATCAATAACTACCCTCTATGTAATACAATAACTACTCACACGCAAGAAAGTCGAGCAAACCTTACCCACTTGGTATGTTATTTTTGGATGCTGATACGAAACATGAAAATATTGGCGTGGTGTCACCGTTACACTAAATATTTACTCATATGGACGATGTGATCATACTAAATAAAATGCAACGGANTTATTTACTTACATGATAAATAAATAATAATTTTTATAAGATCCATTTGTTAATTTATTTTAATATTATTAATTAATAATATCACATCACCTTACCATATGTTATCACCGTTGTAAAGAATATTTTCTCCCCTTACTGGGGCTTACTTTCATATCCTTTCAAGTTTAGAGTTTAGGTATGGTTAGGGTTTATAACCAAGTGAGGTTATTTGGGTTCAGATCAACTCATTATTGACTCAAGCTTAAATAATTTTTTTTAAGTTTGTTTAAAAAATACAATAATTTTTCNCAGATCAACTCATTATTGACTCGAGCTTAAATAATTTTTTTAAGTTTGTTTCTTTAAAAAATACAATAATTTTTTTTATAAAATAATCGATCTACTCAGACTTAATTTCTACATAATTTGGGCTTACCGAACCAACTATAAAACAATTTTTCAGACTAGTTTAAAAAAACAAACTCAACTAAAACTTACAATACTCAACTTGGTTATCAACCCTAACTATAGAACCCCGGTATTATACCAAAACTTTTTCTCAACCATTAATTTTATTTTGATCAATTTTTAACATTGAATGTAAAAATAAAATAAAATAATAATTTAAGAAAACTTTACATAAACGAGGCCACAAATAATTAACAGAACAAATTAAAAAATAAATAACATCGAAGAATTTATATGGGATGGCTAGCAATTTTCGCTTACAGGCGACAGACAGACGAAGGACAATAATAAAGTTTCACTATCAAAGAAAGATTACAAAATAAATCTCTAAAACTAAAGCAACAAAAACAAGTAACCAAAAGCTGTTTCAAATTTATGTACAAATAATAAAAAGATATACATAAGAAATTCTTTTACTAAGATTCGAGTTTACTTTTTTTTTTTAATGGAATTAGGTGTCTGAATTTTGTTGAACTACACTATGGGGTGCAACCTTATTTGTACTGAAGTAAGTGCATCCTTATTACTGCTCAGTTATTAGTGTTCATAAAAGGGGGCACCAATGCATCAGGCTCCCACTATTACAAGGCCTAGGGAGGGTCAAATGTCCGTAATGCATCATTTGCTTTCAATCTTGTTCTGTTTGTGAATTACTTTCAGTCTTCTTCAGCCTTCATTCATGAAAATATCTTCTGTAGTAGTCTGGAGGATATGTTACTTCAAGGGGGGGAGGGGAGGGGATATTGATGACGGAGAAAATATTTCATGCAATGGTGAGACTACGTTAATATTATCACGTGATATCACCATTTAATAATATGCTAGGTAAGTAAATTCCACATAAATCAATAACTACCCTCTATGTAATACAATAACTACTCACACGCAAGAAAGTCGAGCAAACCTTACCCACATGGTATGTTATTTTTGGATGCTGATACGAAACATGAAAATATTGGCGTGGTGTCACCGTTACTAAATATTTACTCATATGGACGATGTGATCATACTAAATAAAATGCAACGGCAGGTACCTGGTCTTGAGTGGCATGCTAAGTTGCTATGAGAAAGCCCTTGCATTTACATGAGAACTGTTCCATTACCATGTGGATGAAGCTCCCTTCTCCAGCTGAGTGGCTGACATTTTTGCACTAAAGGTTATGCACATTTTTTCTACCCTCTTCAAAAATTAAACAAAAAAGCATCATATAAGGTAAGACTCCATTATTAGCACAATGTGCTGAGCTTTCACCTGATTCCAGCGGGATCCTGGAAAATATTACAGCAAAAATTCCCAAAGACGTACATACATACATATTCATGAAGAAATATATCTTCCCAACATTCTCACAGATGTTCCTATTAACACACACAAGATGGCACACACAACTCCAAGAACCGAAAAATAGAAAAAACCACCATTAGATCTGGGAGGCCTAATCGCAGTTGAAGTGGAGTTACCTGCATCAGTGTTTATGTTTCTGGCACGTAATCTTACCCTACCAAAGCTAGACATTCGCTCAAAGGCCCTATTTACCAAAGCATTTTCTGAAGCTGAAGCAGGAGTGGCCGGTATTGACTCCACAAAAGCCCAGAGGGCAGAGGACCATGAATCTGTACCATGATCTTGTATGCCGATTTGATTTTGATTTGATCCGACAGGTCCATTTGCAAAACTACTATCACATACTACACCTAAACAAACATAGAGAGAATTGATACAAACTCGAGATAAAGATATGTAAAATCAGAGCCTCATGGTAACCAAGTCCAAGGGCTATCACTAAAATTTGCAGCAATTTCTATACCTGAAATTGGTGGCGTAACAGTCAGCTGATTCGCTTCGGCAGGAGTAAAGGCATTGCATCTTTGACCATCTACCCATAGCTGACAATTGATATCATTTGCAAAATTTGACAGAGGTTGCAACTGGTAATTTGCAGTCCCATTCCCAATATTGGTCAAATAGGGATCTGAAACTGGGTTCACTATTCCATTCTCAAGGTTATTCATGCATTGTTGAGAAATTTGTCCAGGTTCACCTTGCCCCATCTCAGGAAGAAACATGGATGCATCATGGAACAGGTCGAATTCAGACAAACCATCAAAGTCATTAAACTGCAGGCTCTCCAGTGGATTATCAACATATTGAATAGTAGGTTCAGGGCCAAGGAGGTCATCCATTTCAAGGAAATCTTCTTCAGCCACATGAAGCTCCTGAGGATGAATGTCAAGAGCAGAGGTGACCTCAGGTACCGAGTGCAATTGTAATTGAGAAGTTGCTGACTGTGTCAAGTCAAAGCTAGCATGTAAATTATTTTGCTGGCTGCTAGGTGGCAGAACCATGCTCTGATCCGGTAAATTGACTGTCCTTGAGGAAGGATCCGCCAAGGTACTTTCGTCTTCTTCCTCACCCACAACCTGCTGTAATAAATAGTCATGATTACCGGCAAGGGGCGTGAAAAGCAAAGGCTCATCTGCGATGCCGTTCATGAATTCCTCAAGATCATCTAATGAAGACTGCTGTTGAACATTAGCTCTGAAATTATCAATATAAGCAACTTCATTAAGCTGTATAACAGAATTTTCCTGGTCAACGTGGCCATTCACATCCAAGACCTCATCTTCCCATTCTTCTTCTTTGAAAGGTGCACCATATTGCTCACCATTTTTGGGACCAGGCCCACTCTTCTTGTAGACCTTATACAGTGCATAATAGTCCTGTGCAGACTGGCACCTCTGCAGCTCATCCTCGTCAAGGGTATACTCGTGCATCACCCAATCTGTGCGCTTGCCACTAGGTGCACGACCTTTATAGAAAACCAGGGTCTTTTTCACCCCAACTGATCGAGAATTACAGGTAATGATGCGATCTTTTCCAGTTGCTTTCCAGTACCCATACCTGGTTGCTCTATTTGACCTTGCTCCATTGGGATACTTCCTATCTCTGGGGCTGAAGAAGAACCATTGCCTGTCACCAGTCCTTAATTTGGATTTCCCTGCATTCCATTGTGAGAGAAAAAACAAGGTCAATAAAGTGCCCAAGACATTTTATCAAATTCCATAAATTGATACCAACCAAAAAAATTAACTACTTAACCCGATTCATAGTGAACACACATATTAACAAACCACTGTCTATACCAATTATCAACAATAGTTGTTGCATATCTATCCGTACCAACACCAACCAGAACCACTGTTTTAGTGAGCCAAATTAATTGACCAAAAATAAGTTCAATGCCAAGCCAATGGACATCTATATAATTAAAGAATCATACAAGGCCTCACAATTCAAAGTTGCAAAGTAGTTCCGTATTTTTATTATGCAAAAGAAAGAAAACCCAAAAAAAACAATTGTTACTCCTCATTTTCAAATCTGATCTGATTGCCTTTAACTGGAAGTTTTTTTTCTTATGAAATAACTCTGCTCCAAACTCATACACACCAAAAGACATTTACATGGAACCGAACCCACAATTTAGCAGCACATCATCATTTTAAATTGACTGTGTATGAATGTTTTGAGAAAACAAATCAACCAAACAACAGATTCACTTCTATCTAGTACGACTATGAACAAGACAAACACATTAACCAACAGAAACACACAACCAATACAAAAAAATCCGGCTATATCAAACAAGAAGGAACTCGGCAAACAAGCTTACCAAATTCTAATTAAGTAAACACATACGCTAACAAAATCAACGATCTACCACACAAAAACCATCACCATAAATTTTGGATTTCAATTCCCAACGACAAACTCAGCCTACCACGACATAGAACTAGCGATCATAGCAGGATTCAACACAGAGAACTAGAGATCACAGCAGGATTCAACAAACATCGTAGTATGTAAGACGCGCATATACATATATCGACAAATAAATACATAAATCCTTGAACTTAAGCAAATCAGCCAGACCCATTCAAACAAAAACACATGCATAACAGGATTGAACAGGATCAATAACTGAAGAAACTGAGCCAGAGCCAGACCCAGATGAATAACATGCCAAACTAGCTACAAATCAAGTCAACGGACACAGATGAAGATATAAAACAGAAAATAAATATGGAATCTGATAGTCATACCAGGCAAGTCCTCCGGGTCCCACTTGTATACATCAGTCTCGCCGATGATGTCGAGCCTNCTCGGCAAACAAGCTTACCAAATTCTAATTAAGTAAACACATACGCTAACAAAATCAACGATCTACCACACAAAACCATCACCATAAATTTTGGATTTCAATTCCCAACGACAAACTCAGCCTACCACGACATAGAACTAGCGATCATAGCAGGATTCAACACAGAGAACTAGAGATCACAGCAGGATTCAACAAACATCGTAGTATGTAAGACGCGCATATACATATATCGACAAATAAATACATAAATCCTTGAACTTAAGCAAATCAGCCAGACCCATTCAAACAAAAACACATGCATAACAGGATTGAACAGGATCAATAACTGAAGAAACTGAGCCAGAGCCAGACCCAGATGAATAACATGCCAAACTAGCTACAAATCAAGTCAACGGACACAGATGAAGATATAAAACAGAAAATAAATATGGAATCTGATAGTCATACCAGGCAAATCCTCCGGGTCCCACTTGTATACATCAGTCTCGCCGATGATGTCGAGCCGGAGCCGCCGACAGCAGATCTTCCTCTTTAGGTAGTACAGAACCAGCTCCTCATCCGTCGGATGGAATCGAAATCCCGGCGGAAACACTTTGTCATCGCCGAAACACAAAGAAGACCCCGAAACCGTCATTGTTTCAAACAACCCTTAAATAAAAACTAATTATACAGTAAAAAATATACAAGAATGTACAATCGTTTATTGATAATTTGAATAGGATTAGAAATTGAAGAAGAAATTGAGAGTTGAAACCCTAATGAGAGGAGGCGAAGGAGATAGGATCTGGGAAATGCGGGGTTCTGAGGGGTGGTCGCGGACTAAAGAGAGTGGTTTGGTCAAAGAAGACATAAGAGAGGTGGGCGACTGGGTGCGGACGCGAAGGTTCTTGGAATTTAGGTTTTGGTTTGGTGGGGTCAAAATTGTAAATATTGCAATATGTTGGTTTTTTTTTTTGGTCAGTCAAAGGAAGGTTCCGTTGGATTTAATTTTTTTTGCCTACCCCGTTGGATTTAATTGAGTCATGTGTATTTTATGATTTAGGTCCATTATTGGCATTGATACCAAAAAATAGTCACTTATTCCTTAAGGTTGTTAATTTAGTCAATTTTGTGGGATTTAAGTGTAAGATCTTGCATCAAATTTAAGGATGGATAATAAAATATTTATTCTAAAAGAATTAAAATGATGGTAAAAACTTTGAGTCTTTGAAAAAATGATCATGAAATTTGAGTTTCATACAATGATTTTCAAATTAAATTTAGTTTTAGAGTCGTTTAAGCTTTAGAAGTCTTGTTAGGTAAGTTTTTAAAGGTCTTTAGCTGACAATCACATCAAAAATGAATTCAGGAGATCGAGAAACCTTGAGATAAATGATATGTAGTGTATTAACGATTTGATAGTGTTTTGGAGCTTAAACGTAGTAGAGAATTCGGGTAGGAAGAAAATTTGACACTATTTTAGTATTTAGGTCAACTTTCTACCCTAATGTCCGATTGAGGTTATTCTTATGGCATTAGAAAGTGGACTTAAAAAGTTACAAAAAGTGTATTTCATGAAAAATTCGTGAATTGATTTTTAACTAAGCCAAATTTTGGGTTGAAAGATTAAGACAATGAACAAAAACTTTAGGTCCCGTTTAGTAACGTTTATGTTTTTCGTTTTTATTTTGACATTTGGAGAAAACAAGAAAAAAAAACTNGACTTAAAAAGTTACAAAAAGTGTATTTCATGAAAAATTCGTGAATTGATTTTTAACTAAGCCAAATTTTGGGTTGAAAGATTAAGACAATGAACAAAAACTTTAGGTCCCGTTTGATAACGTTTATGTTTTTCGTTTTTATTTTGACATTTGGAGAAAACAAGAAAAAAAAACTCGTTTGATAACCGTTTTTATTTTTTTTTTCTGTCATCGTTTTGTAAACGATGGGCGATTTTCACGAGAAAAAAGACTTTTTTCATTTTTTGATTCTATTTTTTGTTTTTTAGAAAATCAAAAACCGTAAATGTTACCAAATGAGCCCTTAGTTACGAGTTTTTCAACGATTAGTCTACACCGCCTAAATAGTTTTTGGCCCTATAAATACCTTAAGGACGTGTTTCAGAGTTCCTTAACCTATTCTTCAACCCTAAGAATCCTAAAAGAGCTTGAAGAGATAATAATAATAATAATAATAATAATAAATGAAAAAATGGACTAGATTTTGAAGGATTCACGCATAGAAATCACACAAAAAGACATTAGTATCAAGATTTAAGAAATCAATGTAGGGTTTCTTTTCCAATCTTATCCATTGAGGTTAAGGCTATTACTTATATGTTTTTTTTTTATTCTACGATGTAATTATAGGGCCGACCCTATAGTATAAAAATAAAAGCGTGGATTTTAGGTCTCACATATGAAAAAAGCCCAAAATTTAAAGATCAATAATGTAATATAAGCAAAAAACTAAAATTTACTATAAAATAGTCTAATAAAATAATTTTTGAAAGAGTAAACCAACAAAAAAATTAAAAATTTGGATCAAAAGTCCAGACCATCTCACATAATCACATTTATTAAAGGGCAAAAAAAGATTAACAAAAAAAAAAGTGTTGACAAAATCCATCTCTTTATCCAATTAAAAGAACTATAATAAGCATATCTCTTTAGTCAAAAAAAAAAAAAATTCAAACTAAACACATTCTCTACTTCTCTTAAACTTGTTTTTTTTTTTTTTCTCATTTGAACGCAAAACACCAATTAAGCCATTCATTCTCATTAAAAAAATGTTTCGATAAAATTCTTATTCTTAACAAATAAAATACAATAAAAATTTAGCTAAAAGTGGCATGGATAAATAAGAAAAATTCAAAGATAACAACAAATTTATTTATAATAAAGTCAATCATCTAATACCATAATATTGATAAAGAACATATAAAACAAATAATAAGAACATAAAAATATTACTAAAGAAATTAATTTTATTACTATAAATATTTATGATCAAAAGTCATATTATTAATCAAAAAAAATATATTAGCAATTTCGAATATTATCAAAAAGTAAGTGATGGGACATTTTCAGACACTCCTAGATGATGACACGTGTACATGGTATCAATGGAGACATTTGCTCTAATACTGACACGTCTTCGTCATTTTCCAATCCCCCCTGCCCCGAGGATACTATTCACAAGGATCAAGGATCCCCAAACCATCATGGACCAACACTTATTCCTCGACAGTTTGGGTACATCGGTCCTAAATCATGCTAGTCCCTTGGCACTGAGGAGTATATATCCGCGTCGGCATTTCTGCACCTGCAGTGGCTATTGATGGACAGATCACTAGCCTAGGCAAGGCTAGACTAGCCATCATGACCTCGTCTTACTCAAATGGTGTCAGGAGGCACAAGAAAGCAGAAGGCTCAACCAAAGAGGAATGGACACGTGGCATATTGTGTCAGATTAGAGACAAAAAGATCAGAATGCCCTTGCTGACACACGACTTGGGAAAACAAATATTTAATGCACCATTCCCTTGATGAGACAACATTTAATGCATGAGAACTCGANCTTTATCCAATTAAAAGAACTATAATAAGCATATCTCTTTAGTCAAAAAAAAAAAAAAATTCAAACTAAACACATTCTCTACTTCTCTTAAACTTGTTTTTTTTTTTTTCTCATTTGAACGCAAAACACCAATTAAGCCATTCATTCTCATTAGAAAAATGTTTCGATAAAATTCTTATTCTTAACAAATAAAATACAATAAAAATTTAGCTAAAAGTGGCATGGATAGATAAGAAAAATTCAAAGATAACAACAAATTTATTTATAATAAAGTCAATCATCTAATACCATAATATTGATAAAGAACATATAAAACAAATAATAAGAACATAAAAATATTACTAAAGAAATTAATTTTATTACTATAAATATTTATGATCAAAAGTCATATTATTAATCAAAAAAAATATATTAGCAATTTCGAATATCATCAAAAAGTAAGTGATGAGACATTTTCAGACACTCCAAGATGATGACACGTGTACACGGTATCAATGGAGACATTTGCTCTAATACTGACACGTCTTCGTCATTTTTCAACCCCCCTGCCCCAAGGATACTATTCACAAGGATCAAGGATCCCCAAACCATCATGGACCGACACTTATTCCTCGACAGTTTGGGTACATCGGTCCTAAATCATGCTAGTCCCTTGGCACCGAGGAGTATCTATCCGCGTCGGCGTATCTGCACCTGGAGGGGCTATTGATGGACAGATCACTAGCCTAGGCAAGGCTAGACTAGCCATCATGACCTCGTCTTACTCAAATGGTGTCAGGAGGCACAAGAAAGCAGAAGGCTCAACCAAAGAGGAATGGACACGTGGCGTATTGTGTCAGATTAGAGACAAAAAGATCAGAATGCCCTTGCTGACACACGACTTGGGAAAACAAGTATTTAATGCACCATTCCCTTGATGAGACAACATTTAATGCATGAGAACTCGAAAGTGAAACGTAATAAATGTCCTAAAGTCTGGGCATTTAATACACCCCCGTCGAGAGAAGATCATTAAACGTTCGGCAGACCGAGGAGAAAACATTATTTGCTCAGGGTCCCGAGCAGTAAAGAATAAGATCATTACTCATAAAAATTGGTGTGCACGCTGCCCACCCCCAATGATTACCTACTAGCTACGCTGTCAGCAATAATGAATTTTTAAGGTATAAATAGTCCTCACAAACACAGAAAAGGGGTACGCAACAAACCCTCTCTCAACTATCATACAATGTTTTCTCCTTCCCCTCTTTCAAAGAACTGACTTGATCGTTGGAGGGGATACGCCGAAAAATACTCCGGCGCAGTTCTAACCTATTTTTCTTTGTTCCAGGAACGTCCTTTAGCCTTCCAGGATCACTCAGGCGACTCATACAAATGATTGATTATCCACCTTCGACCCTCACAACCTGTTCAAGTACCAAGATCAACCACCCATTTTCGGACACGTGTTCACTACAAAAGAGATCTGTTCTAGCATTTATATTGTGCGGGATCTTGCACGCATAATCTGACGCCGTCTGTGGAAAACGACTAGTTTTCCTAGTTTATTCTCCAGAAAGAACAGTGATCATGGTGAATACTCAACAGAAAGGGAAAGGTCCCCAACAAAGAAGTCTCGAGTTACAAGCTCTTCGTCATGATGGGGGGAGGGATCACGCTGATGACAACAGGAACGTTTCTATTCATTCAAGGGGGCATACTCCTCAAACCAGTATGGGCATTAGATCAGGAGGATCCGCCCCCTTGGCTCGTCAACTAGCGGAGGTGATTGAAGAAAAGTTTGGGGATCGACTACGACAGTTAGAACAAGATAATGTGAATGTCCTAAGCCGGCTCAATGAATTTGTCGCCTCAGGCGAAGGATTGGGGGACTCATTCTGTTCTGACGGATGCCCCGTCTGGGAAGCAAAAATCGAGGACCTAAGGAATCATTTGAACAACAAAGTTGAGAGCTCCAGGGTCCTAAAGCGCCCGAGAGCCAATGATCACCCCCACGACGGTCATTCTAGGAAGGCAAGACCTTTGGCCTGGGATGACCTCCGGAGAGGACTGTTAAGGCGGGGGAAGGGAGATGAGTCCGAGGAGGATTCAACCCTTTCCCCATGACGCCCGGAGAAGGGGAGCCCCGTCAATGACCTTAGAAACTTCAAAAGACATCCTTCTGAGATGGAGACTGATCTTAGAGCTCGGCTAGAATCCAGGAGAAGGGGCAAGGCTGTGTAGGGTGACACTGAGGACGAGGCAATGCAATCCCATTTTATAAGGAATATCCGAGATATGGAGGTACCAAAGA